CCAAAGGTTAAAGACAAAGAGAGAATCTTAAAAGTAGCAAGAGAGAAGCACTCAGTTACCTACAAGGGAGCTCCCATAAGATTGTTAGCTGATTTTTCAACAGACACTTGGCAGGCTAGAAGGAAGTGGCAAGAAATATTCAAAGTGATGAAAAGTAAGGACCTACAACCAAGATTACTTTACCCAGCAATGCTATCATTTAGAATCAAAGGATATATAAAAGCTTCCCAGACAAGAAAAAGCTAAAGGAGTTCATTACCACCCAACCAGTATTACATGAAATGTTAAAGGGTTTTCTTCCAAAAGAAGAAGAAAGGAGATAAAATTTTTGAAAAATAAAATGGCAATAAATACGTATCTATCAACAATTGAATCTAAAAAACAAATGAACAAACAGAACAGAAACAGATTCATAGATACTAAGAACATTTTGACAGTAGCCAGATAGGAGGGGGCTTGGTGGGATGGGGGGGAAAGGTAAAAGGATTAAGAATTACAAATTGGTTGTTACAGAATAGTCATAGGAATATAAAGTACAGCCTTAGGAATATTCTAATTATTTATGGTGTCAGATGGGTATGAGATTTATCGGGAGGATTATTTAGTAGGTTATGTAATGTCTAATCACTAGGGTGTTCACCTGAAACTAATATAATATTGTATGTCAACTGTAATTGAAAAACAAAAATTGAATTAAATTTTAAAAGGACCAGGAGAATTATAAGCTTTCAAAATAAAAACATAGAGTAGGTATGACAGAAATAGAAGGACATTAAAATTTTTTAATATTTTGCCTCACATTGGAATCTTTTTAGCTTTTCCTACTGGTGGGTAGACACATCTCAGACTATAAGAAAACAGAAGCAAGAAAATTCAGATTATTTAGTTTCTACACATACTTTTTTTCAACTTGTAAAGTTCTTTATCTCCTTCATTTTAAGTGATACTAGTTTCTGGTGCCAGAAAATTTTTTGCATGGAATATTTTACTAACTCCTGACAGAAAATGTAGAGTCTTTCCAACTCTTTTTTTTTTTTTTTTTTTTTTTTTATCCTCACCCGAGGATATTTTTCCATTTTTTGTACAGCTAGAGTGGGAGGGAGAGAGAGGAAGGAGAGAGAGAGAGAGAAACATCGACGTGAAGGGACACATCGAGTGGCTGCCACCCGCACGACCAACCAGGGCCGGGGACAAACTGCAACCGAAGTACATGCCCTTAGCGGGAACCGAACCCGGGTCTCTCCGGACCGCAGGCCGACGCTCTAACCGCTGAGCCAAACTGGCCAGGGCGAGTCTTTCCAACTCTTAATTAAAGCTTTATAATATCCTGAAGACTAGAAAGGAGTACATGGCATCCCCAGAGCCTCTGGCTCTAGCAGTAGTAAAATGCCAAGAGGAGGTCTTTGTTGTTACAGGCAGTGACTCAGGCTAAGGACCTGGATGTTCACATATTTTATGATTCTTAGACCCTGCTTTCTTTCATGTTTCTTCTCTGATTTTCTCTGTTTCCACAAACTACAGGTCATGACTTTCTATTCAAGGCTACTTAATTTTTTAATGGAAAAATGTGAGCAGGTGTGTATATGTGTGCATATCTCTCTCTTCTCCTACTTCCTTTCTGTTCACAAGTAAAAGAAAGTGAAAACTTTTCTGTGAAGTCTTCTTTGTCTCCTCCTCATAAACTTAGGTGTTGCTTCTTTGTTCTCTGAGTTTGAACACTTAATTGTGTAGCAGTTGTGTACATGTATATCACTTAGTTAAATGTTGAGTTCCTTGAAAGTAGGTGTTGTGCCTTATTTCCCTCTGAATCCCTAGTACCAAGCCTTGTACTAGATGCTTAGTAAATGTGAGTGGATAAGTGGGTCAGTGAGTGGGTGAGTGAGTGAATTAATTGAAGAAAATGGATCCTTTGGAAAAATGGAAAATTAACTTGAGAAAATGGATCCTTTATTAATGACCAGCACCTACACCTCAGATTATTCATGAGTATCTATTGAACGTTTTCAGTGAGCTTGAGCTTCATTATCTTGTGGGTCATAAATGGGTCATGGAGGAAGAAAAGATTTCTTCCTTCTCCCAGGATTCTCTGGTAGGCAGCTGTTCTATGTGAATTTTTGGTGAGCCTTAAACCTGGTTCACTTGTCCCTTGTTTTTCATCTGGTTGTGCTAAGAAATGTGATATCTGTTTGGAAGATCCCTGATAAATAGACAGTTTCTTTCCTCTTTTTTCTTCAATATTTTCAACACTATGAGTTATCTCCTATTTGTCAGACCTTGGTCTATGCCTTGAAGATACAATGGTGAACACAAAGTTCCTGTCTTTATAAAGCTTATATGGGAAAGATAGGCAATAAACAAATATATAAAATGTTAGGTACTGATGAATGCTATAAATTAAGGATAAGGAGATAAAAAGTAATATGCCTAAAATGTAGCTTTATCAGTCACACTTCACAAAAAATGTGTCAACATGGTATGATCTCAAATATGTAATGAAAAAAAAAAAAAAAAAAAACAGGATAAAAAGCAGTTTAAAAAGTATGCTAAAATATTGGTACAGGTTTTTTTTAAATGAGTTTATAAGTGACATCTTTTATTATGCTTTTATTTATTTTTCCAGAGTGTTCATTACCTTTATTCTTGGGGAGAAGAGGGTGTTATTAAGGTCATATTTATATTTAAAACCTGATTTTGCTGGCCAATAGCTCTTGCATGTGTCAGTAGGAAGAAAGCCACCTGCAGAGTTCCTCTCCAAGTATTATTTCTGGGACCTTTCAGCAGGTGTCTCACACATGAGCTAAACAAGTTCACACACAGTGACTCCTTCCAGTCTCTGGGCAGGCCTCTGCTTCATGTTAAGCATGATCAGTGTCTGAGAAAGTTCTAGCCAAAGTCTTATTAATTCCCCTATTTGGACAAAAATGCTTTGTTGTTCATCCAGGATACATTTCCCAGTGTTTGGACCAAAGCCGAATAGGTCATTTATTCTGATGAAGAAAGTGCAGAAAAACTCTAGTAAGCTACAGTAGCATATGCTTCATGTGCTGTCATGGTTTTTTTTTTTTTTATTCATTTCTTTCTCGGTGTACACTCCACAAAATTTCAGTCAAACCTGACCTAACTCAGCACTATTGCCACACGTGTTATGACTCTTGTAAAGGCTGTGGGACAATGGCAGAGAAAATGCATGAAGCAGATTTTTCAGTTCCTCCAGTGAAATGAACCCAACTTCCTTTTCCCCTCATCGCCTGTAAACCAATTGAGAACATCTGCACCCTGATTGTCTTGGCTGCTATGGTATGAGGAATAACTGGAAGAGGAGGAGAAGGAAAGGAAAGCCTGAAACAACACCAATGACTAGGCGGGGCCCCAGGCTGTAGGACTCATCAGATATGTAGTAGTAATAAAGCATCTTTCATAGCTAAAGCTATAGGATTTCCTCTAACCCTGGACTTTCAAAATCCTCTTCAGGCTCAGAGTTGTTGGTATCCCCAAAGGACTGGTTTTCTGTGTGTCTAACCACCCCTCTATACTTCCTTCACCCCATGACTGTCTTGGTGACAAAGCAAACAAAAATAATACACAGAGGTGGACAAAAGTAGGTTTACAATTGTAATAGAAATAGTACAATAACTATTAAATAATAATACAAGAAGAAACTCTGTGTTTCGTGTAAACCTACTTTTGTCCACCCCTGTATACCTTCCTTGCCAGTCTTCTGTTTATGTCTATGGTATACTTATTTTTAGAGTAAAGGCACACTTTACACATTTAAATAGATGGGTAGGCACACTGTTCTAAAACTGATTTGATGTAAAGATTAATTAAGGAAGGACAAGGAGAATTTTTCTGCACCTCTTTGCTTGCTCTGTCTTACCCTCTCTTTTGTAGGTCCCTTTCCCCTCCTCCCTTCATTTCTTTTTACTTTCCTATATGAAGCAAACATTTCTATAAACATTCTTTGACTTTATTGTTAGCCCTATGCCTGAACAGGTGAAGCCTATCTCAATGTAGATCAGTTCATTCCAACTGGAAATGTTGGTCCATGTGGTAAGTGCACTGTGATGGAACAGATAATTTCTCATGCCTGTGGAACAGTGGCTAAGTAATTGCTTTTGCAATTACTGTGCCTTCTGCCTGGAATAGGTTTCTTTCTCCCTTCACCTTCATCTATTTGGTAAATTCCATTCCTTATTTAAAAGACCTAGCTCAAATATTATGGCTTCTTTGATACTTGACCTAATTCTCCCAGACAGTTCGTGACTCCTACAATAGATTTTTCATATCTCAAATAGCTCATTTAAGATTGTTTATTATAGTTTGTTGACATCTCTCTCACTAGACAGCTTTCCAAGGGTAGGAACTATATTTTTTTTATTTTCCTGGATTTGCTATATGGTCAGCAGATGTTTTTTGACCATTCATTTTTCATTGGCTAAGACTTATTGCCTGTTTTTGAGGACCTTAAAATCTAGTAAGGTAATATACCAATCATAGATAACTATAGTACAAACTAGAATGCAATCAGTGCCACAAAGGAAGAAAGAAATCACTTCTTGCTCTTGGAATTAGTGATGCCTAGGTTATTTCAAACCTTGTGGATGAAGTAGTATTCAAAATGGGCCTTAAAGGAAAGGTGTGAAATGTAGAATTAATGGAGCATTGCTTTTTTTTACTTATTGATGTCTTTATTAGAAATATTTTTAATGCATGGGAGCTGTGTTATATGACATGTATTCCAAAGTCATAAATGCTTTACCTAGAATTAGTTTACCTGTTTTTAATCTTACATTATTCATCAGTTGATTTATACAAAAGAATGCATTTATCTTATTGGGATATCAGTATGCTCACTGTCTTTGTGGACTTAATTCAGAAATTCAGGAAACAATATTTGGGATAAATATTTTTCACCTGTCTGAAATGTTACCAGCCAAAGGAGGACATGAAATTTGATGTCTTTCTGACCTATTGCATTGATTTTTCTTAATTCGTTTTAGCCACAGACCCCTTTGCTTCTGTTTTTGGAAATGAATCATTTGAAGATGGATTTGCTGACTTCAGCACATTGTCAAAGGTAATCCGAAGTGATTAGTGGGAAGGTAAAATATGCTGTTTCCACCAAAAGAGTAGTCCTTTCTTTCAATTACATAATCCTCTCACAGACTTTGCAATTTGATTTCAATAAATCACAGCAAATGTTGATTTCAGATAGAAATAAAGGATAAGATATAATTAAAGTAGACATACATACTTCCATTAATAAAGACAATGGTGATGATATAGGTAATTATAGTTTTCTACTGACAAGTTAGTTCAACAACTTCATTTTTAAGAGTCTTATGTCTTTTTAAATATGTTTCTTCCAATTAAACTACATTTTTCTCCTCTTAATTGTCTGGGTCAGTAGCTGTATAATCTGGGAATTCATTCTATCTTCTCTGCATTGGTTAATTGATTTTTTTGTTCTGAGACTGTTAAGATTATATTAATATAATTAATATACATAGTCTAGCACTTATAGATCTACTACCTACTTTCCATTGTAGCTCTAGGACTTACTGAAGCCAAAAGAGTTAAATTAGAGTCTGTGTCATTGGTTGTCAACTGGGTGTTATTTCCTCCCTCCTCCAACCCCAGGAAACATTTGCCAATGTCTAGAGATATTTTTGGTTGTCACAGTTAGGTAGGGGGACTATTCATATTTAGTGGATAGAGAGCAGGGATGCTGTTAAACATCCTGCATACAAATGCCCTGCCCAACCCCTCCCCAACACAGAATTATGGCCAACCCCAAATGTCAATAGTGCTACTGCAGAAAAACATTGGCCAAAATAGAGCTAAAATCATGACATCTGATGTATTATAGAAAAGTGAATCTTTCATTACTCCATGCATTAGAAAGACAGGGTCTTCACACTCACATTAAGACTCAAATTATGATTCCATGGGATCAGTTTGATTTAAACACTGACTTTCGCCCTGGCCAGTTTGGCTCAACGGTTAGAGCGTCCGCCTGCAGTCCGGAGAGACCCGGGTTCGGTTCCCGCTAAGGGCATGTACCTCGGTTGCAGTTTGTCCCTGGCAGCCACTCGATGTGTCCCTTTCACATCGATGTTTCCCTCTCTCTCTCTTCCTCTCTCTCCTTCCCACTCTGTACAAAAAAATGGAAAAATGTCCTCGAATGAGGATAAAAAAAAATAATAATAAAAAAATAAAAACTGACTTTCAAGTTGTCTTTAATATTTAAGATGCCATTTTCTTTGGCATTTATTAAATCTTTCTTATATTTAAGATCATTGGAAAGTGTGGAATCTTTTTTTTTTTATTATTCAGATCAGATATTCATTTGAGGGAAGATATATAGTCCTTTTAAAATCGCCTCAGGTTGTTTGTGACTTTGTATTGCCTGAAGCTTGACAAATCTTGATCCAAAGTTGGCTTGTTTTGGTATGATCTGTAGCAGGAGGGCCAGGACTGGAGATGTGAACACCCCCAAGACCCGAGACACTGGAACAACTGTCATCTAGAGTGGGGGGATGGCTCTGACCACTGGTGGGGCCAGGAGGCCCTGCAATGACCACACATACTTCTCAAACCAAAAAAAAAAAAAAAAAAATAGTGATATTATAATCACCACTCATACAGAACAATAAAAATTTTTTTCTCCCTTTGGCCCTGAATGCAAAAGTTAAAATGTAATTGCTCAAAATTGAAATAAATAAAGCTGCATAATACTGAAGACCATTCTTCCAAATGTTATATGGCCATATACAGTTTGGTTGATACAATATATAACCATGTCTAAACATTTCTTTGCAAACAAAGGTCAACAGTGAAGATCCTTTTAGTTCAGCCACACCAAACTCTGCCAGCAATGTGGTCCTTACAAAAAATGTGCTGGAGGAAGCACCAGTCAAAAATGAAGATGTACCCCCTGCCCTGCCACCGAAGATCGGAACTCCAACAAGGCCCTGCCCTCCACCACCTGGTATGGAGTTGGTACCTTTCCTAAATTAACAAGATGCTTTTCTTTTTCTTAAAATATTGTGTGGGTCTTATTTATAGACTTATCTAAAGGGCCTTAAACAAAACAAGTCAAGAAAACATGGCAGAAACCTGCTGCTATCCTCTCTTCTGACCCAGATACCAAATAAGAGTATGTGCCTTAAAGGCCAGCATATGTAACTATCATGAACTACTCTTCTGGCACAAGCAAATTTCTTTTTAAATCATTTTAGAGAGGCAGTAACATTGATTGCCATTTGAACGATAGTTTCCTGCACTTTGATGTTTTAATTAATTTCTATAAAAAAGGTTAGTTTGAAGTCCCATTCTTTTCTTGACAAATGTGAAGAAATTACCTAATAAGAGATTTATTTAATTTATAAAAGTTATTTTTGGGGGGATCCAGGAGTAAATTCTTGAAATTTTTTCTATCTTTAGCACTATCGAAAGACAAGGGGGCTAGGGGTGGGGTGTTGTTTTTTAATGAAGATAAAGCTCATGAGAAGTGGGAAAAAAAGCAGTCTCCTGAGTAGTTGTGGTTCTATGCTGTTGTGTGAAAATACACATCTGGTAAATTGTTCTTTTAATCATATATCATTCCTTGGGAAATTTTAAGCCAGAGCAGCTGTAGATTACTATTCTTGTCTTTTCATAATAATCTCTCTATGGTATTTATTCAGAAGGTTATTTTTTCTTCTTTAATTTAAAGAAATTGCATATTCAATTGTTAATACTCAATTATCTGTTGAAAAATCAGGTAAACAAGTGATTTCTATCTTTCAAGGAAAAGTAGCCTATATCATATATTGCTAGAAGATAAGGTTGTCAGACTATATTAAACAAGTAAGAGTCAATTTGCTGATTCAGTTTTTAGACCTGTATAATGCCAATAGTGAAAGTTTTTTTTAAAGTCCTAAATAAAATGATATACTAATGCTTTACATCTTCAGCCTAGTGAGTATGTCTCACTCTAGAAATATCAACTAAAGGATGGTTTGTTGGAGAGAGTACTAGACTGGGAGCTCAAAGGTTTGGGTTCTAATTCTGGATATGCTGTGACTAGCTCTGTGATTTTGACTGTAACTTCTGAGCCTCAGCTGTCTGAGCTGTTAGATGGTGGCAGTAATTCTAATTTTGCCCACCTTCACAGGACTATTGTAAGGATCCACTGAGGTATGAAATGACATATTTTGTAAGCTGTTAAAAGTGATACTCTGCCCTTGCCAGTTTGGCTCAGCGGTTAGAGCGTCTGCCTGCGGTCCAGAGAGACCCGGGTTCGGTTCCCGCTAAGGGCATGTACCTCGGTTGCAGTTTGTCCCCGGCCCTGGTCGGTCGTGTGGGAGGCAGCCACTCGATGTGTTCCTTTCACGTCGATGTTTCTCTCTCTCTCTCTATTCCTCTCTCTCCCTCCCACTCTACCTGAACAAAAAAATGGGAAAATGTCCTCGGGTGAGGATAAAAAAAAAATAAAAAAAAAGTGATACTCTGTTGATATGATTGCTATTACCAGTTTAACACATTTTAGGAAAACTATATATTTGAAGATTTTTAACACCTATTATTTTTCTTCAAGAAGTACTAAATTTAAGACTTTAAAATTTGAGAACTTGTTTGAAAATGATGAATTAATGAGCAACAGTATGCTGTTGTTTGGTCAAAAAAAGTAGTTTGTCAGCAAACATAAAGATTTAGGTCCTGTGCTTCAAAATACTCTCTTTATTCTTCAGTTTGATATACTGTAGATGGCAAGGTAATTTTTAATTTTATGTTCCTGGGTATTATATATAGATCCAGAGAAAAATCAGAAGAATATCAGCATTTTGCAAAGGTCATTTGCCCTTACTGCCACGAGTGGATTACTATATCAGGCTGAGGTTATAATAGCAGAGGCCATTGATATTCTTTGTCATTCTCCTGTTATATCTTTTCTTCTCTCTTTGCTTGGGAACATGCTCTTTTGAGGAAGAAAGGTTTACTCTCAGGCAAAAATAGTAGTCCTGGTCTATCTCCTTCCTCTTTGCTATTTTTTTATTTACCTACATGGAGTTGGAATGTAGTTGAGGTGTTATGTGTGAAAAATGTGAGGATAGACTGTTGGTGTCGCCATTTAAGACAGTTTTGAGAATGTATTTTAGGCACTCACCCCTTGCCCCTACCCGCAGTTCTTCAGTGCTTTCTGTGTTCATGTTCTTGTGTGTTTGTGTTTGCCATATTGCTGGTTGAGTTAATTGTAATGATTTTGATCCAGGGAAAAGACCAATCAACAAATTGGATTCTTCAGATCCCTTTAAACTGAATGATCCATTTCAGCCTTTCCCAGGCAATGATAGCCCCAAAGAAAAAGATCCCGATATGTTTTGCGATCTTACTTCTACTACTACTACCACTACCAGTAAAGAGGCTGACCCAAGCAATTTTGCTAACTTCAGTGCTGTAAGTACTGTGAATGGGCTGTTTGGGGGAGAATCTTTCCATTTACAGTTTGAAGGGTTTTTCAAAGATTACTTTGGAATCTGCCAAATTTGTATCATTCCAACTAAATTTACTAACATACTAAAAGTGATCTTTATTCTTCCCCAACCAAAACTTGTTTGTTTCTGTTAGGATGGTTCTAAAATTATTTCATTGCACAAATGATTTTAGTAGTTTTAGTTCTTGTGATATATACCAGCTGTTTTGTAAACCTTTCTCTTTGTCTGGGTAAACAACATAAATAAAACCCTTACAGTTATTATTTTGTAAGTTGTTATGGATGATGGGCCATTAGACAGTTATTTGCTGTCTGCCCACTGGATGAATAAGGCCAATAATGAGTTTGTGTATTTGTAACTGTGTATGTGTGTTTGTGTATAAAGCTTTTTAGATTTCTGGAGACCAGTCAATAGCTGTTATATGACAGGATAAGGCCTGGGACTCTCTTTGAATAGAAAATAAAACTCTGGTTTTATATAGTAGTGTTTTTTAATGTAAATGTCAGTTTTATGAAATAAATACAATTGTCAAGAGTTAGACAAATCTAATTGTTTGGAGGGCTCTAATTCACTAGCCTTCCGTATTTACTCTGCATTCTCCCAGAGCTGACTAAGGTAGCCAGTAAAAACAAATGGAACAATGCTGTGATGATGGCACAGGCAGAGCCTATAATATCACAGAAATGAGAAAGCCAACTATGGAGGTGTCACTCTGGAACAACATAAAACAATAACATATTCCACCATTATTCAATAAAAAACAAGGCTTTAAAATTGTTTTCTTTTTAATGTTTTTATTGATTTCTGAAAGAGGAAGGGGGAGGGGGAGAGAGATAGAAACATCAATAAGAAAGAAACATCTGTTGGCTGCCTCCTGCACGCCTCCTTCTGGGGATCGAGCCCACACCACAACCCAGGCATTTGCCATAATCGAGAAGGCAACCTCTTGGTGCATGGGTCTGACGCTCAACCAATTGAGCCACACCAGCCGGGTGAAACAAGGCTTTTTTAAAAATAAAATTATTAGTGTAGCTTAATAAAGTTTTCTTTTCCAAGATTATTTTTCAGTGATAATGACTTTCATTATTGCCGACTATTCTATAATAAAGGAATTTTTCTCTGCTTACCACCTTAAGCCCTTGAGGTGATTTTGGAAGTAGGAGATCTAGTGGCCGGATAACCCTGACCAATCTTCCTAATGTCACCTTCAGTGTAGCTAGCATTGGGTTACTTTATCCCATTTCTAGTTAGAAAGAATGTAGGCAGGAATCTGCATACAACTAAGTCAGATGAATTAAATAGCTAACCAGATTTTGAATCTGTACTCTAAGTACCAGTGGCTTCGTACGAACATGAAGGAGCAGAATAGGAATCAGTATCTTAATTATTGAAAAATAGAATGTTAGAATTATACTGACTTATGTTAGATGGAATTAGAGTTGTTTCAAGCATAGAATCAATAATTGCTCTTCTTAGATTATAATCCTCTTAATATAAAATAACCTTCTGACAGTTTGTGGCATTTAGTCTTAAATATGATTTCAGCAAGTCAAAACCTGTTTGGAATGAGTCTTGAACAATAGCTGAGGCATTTTGCTTATTTCATACTCCAGAATCTCAGTATGATATGATATAAGCAGCTCTTAATAAAAGTGTCTTTTTTTATTATGAAAGATTTGTTAAGTATTAAAAATTTTAAAGTCGCTCTAATTCCTTGGGGAAAATCTATCATTCTTAAAAAGACTGACAATTTCTTTCATTTCATCGTATTATGATAGTCATTCTATTATGGTATTCCTCTATATGACAGAACTTGAAAGCAAGAATTTTTTTATTTGGTATCTGCCGAGATTGCTTTTTTGGATGGATAAAAATAGTTCCCTGACTTAATTACCAGTTAAGGTTTTATTTAGACTGGGTCAAAAAGTTCTCAGTGCCTGCCAAAATCTCAATAATGCATTAAAAAAAAATTTGTCTGCACCTTGTGTAGCATACCTAGTACTCCTACTTTATGTATAGCAAAATCATTATATTCTTTGCTTTGTAGTTTTTTTGTACCTGAATGTTAGGATAAGGTAGGGAATCACCAGCAGGATTAAGTTGAAAATGATTTATCATGTGAGGATGCTTACTAAAGATGAAGTAGTAGATGTTTTATATTAGATAAAAAGGCTAGCCCTCTGCCGTTTGTAAATTTACTAACTCACCTTAAGCATATACTTTTTAAAGTGATGTTTTGATGTTTAGTTTTATAGACTTTCTATAGTAAACTGCATTAATTTTTAAAATAAAATCACATTTAGTAACTGGTAAAACTAAATGATGATGTTTTCAGGGGGGAAAAAATTAATAAGTAAGAAGACTGTTCCCAGAGTCCTTCCAGTAAAACAAATAGTTAATGTCATTTGTAAAAAACTATTTTTCCTTTCTTTTTATTTGTTTTACTCATTAATCTATTGATTTATTCATTCATTTGTCTTTTACATTGTAGTATCCCTCTGAAGAAGATATGATTGAATGGGCCAAGAGGGAAAGTGAGAGAGAGGAAGAGCAGAGGCTTGCCCGACTGAATCAGCAAGAACAAGAAGACTTGGAACTGGCTATTGCACTCAGCAAATCTGAGATTTCAGAAGCATGAGGAATTCTCCTGTCCTTTGTCAACCAGATAATACTTTTCTTCCTAAATACTGAAGCTATTTACAGTGTGTATCGAAACTACCTATGAGCATGGGAATACAAAAGGTTTGAGATTCCTGTAAATGTGACAAAAGTTGTTTTTTAATTCATTTCAGATTTGTCTTTTTGCCCCCCTTGGAAAAGCAGTAACCCAGTCAGACAGCTTCATCTAGGTCCCTCTTCTGGTGTGCATTTACTGTGCGCTTTTGCCTGCCTCTGCTACTCTGACTTGTAAAGCTAGAGCACCCAAGCTTCTCCTTCTGGAGTATAGAGAAAATAGCTTCACCCCTGTGCTACCCTTGTTCTGAAGTTACTCTGATGATAGCCAGTGGTGTTCTTAAAATGTGCAGTATTCTCCCTGATTTAAATGGATGAGGGAGGGGAAGGGAAGGAACATCCTATTTCTTTTATGATAATGCAGATTGGCTAGTTTAAAGTGCATGTTTGTGTTTCCATAGAATCATAATACTATTTAATTTGTTTTTTATAGATAAGGAAAAATATTTTGCATAAATTGACTTCACTATTGAAAAAGGAATGCTTTAAATTACAGCTTCAGACTCAATCTTTTCATAAATAAAAACGTGAAATATATTTAATTTTTTTCCTGAATTTAAAGTATTTTAGATAAACAGATACCTCTCCATAATTTTAAGTGCTAGACAGTGGAGAAAATGTATCACCTAAATTATACCCATCAATAGAAGGTAGGCAGAAATTGTAACATGCCAGTTGTTCTGCCATTGCTATGGCACTGTCCTTTTTAGTTCATGCAGGTTTATTTTTTTACTTTTGCAGAAGAAACTTTAGCAAGCTAGAACTGGAAGGTACTTTAACTTTTTGTATATATATTTTTTTGTTTTCTTTAATGAAGGCTCACTTACTTGAAATGTAAAAACTCGCTGAATACAAATGAAAAAAGTGACATGTGTTCAATCATATTATTGCTTTTTGCCCATCTTTGTGGTTTAAAATAGTTTATTTTCTTCATGTTTTTTGCCTATTGGCAGGCTTGCAAAGAAAAAAAGAAATTTTGTTTTTTTTACTTTGGAGAGACCTGCCAAATTATTAGAACTCTTCATATTTTAAAAGCCTGTATCCTGTAAAACTGACTTAGCAAACAAGCTGAATTTGAAATAGACTGTGAAATGGGCTGTAAATTGTAACCTTAATTTTTTTAACTTCAGTTACTGACTTAGGTAATATATTGAATACCTATTTACCAAGATAGAGAAAAATGCACCTAAAAACTAATGTAAAGTCTCTCTGGTCACCATGTTAAAGTGGTGTTGATCTGTGTTAACCAGAGTAACATATTCCCTGGCCTATGAATAAATTCCCAAAATACCCAATTCACTTCATCTTGAAATGGTGCTTTTTTTCTCTCCACACACAATTGGACTGCTGTAGTTTAAGACAAACTTAAACCACTTTCTTGCACTGCTAACTTTTTTCTACTTTTATAAATTGAAACAGTTCAGCATAAAGTCATGCATACGAAGCAAGGGCTGAATCATAATCATAAGGCTTTAATTTTGATAAACTAATCCGGTGACCAAGGATATATGCAAAAGTTGATTGAGAAGGTAGTGTTGGGAGTTGTGATAGGTAGCGGTTTTGGGTTTTTTTCTTCCCCTTACACTTCAGGAAAAAGGTAAGTCGACTTGAACAACCTTCTTTTGCACTGGTTAAATGAACTGATGTTTGAAAAATATTTTTCTTAATTAAAATAACACTCTGGAAAATATTAAATATCTATAACTTATAAACACCAACTTTTGATGTAATAAGTGTACCCTAATCTTATGTATGTTTAACTGGATTACATGAATTCTTATCTTTTGTTAAAATATATATACTCAGTGGACCATTATTATATTAAAGTATGTATATATTATATAAATATAAATATATATCTCTATCTTTATGCTCACTTGTGTAGGATGAATGTCTTAGAGTTGTTTTTGATTATATTTTACATTGTTGACTCTGGCTCCAGAGCCTGTGCTTAAAAAGGACAGATAAGTATTCCTGAGATCCATGTGGCACCACTTACAAAGTGTTAACTATCTTCTACATACTTGTTCAGGTTTCTCTCTTTATAGAATTTTCTTTTATGTTTCAAACTTCTAAATTGTAGCCTGTAACTATGAGAACAATAAACTTTAAGTAATAATAAAACATACTATCCATACATCTTATTTGAAATGGAGTTTTGCATGATTCTCTGTTATGGCGGTGCTGTGCCCAAGGAGCGGTAGGTATACAATCAGGTGTATGTGTAAAGTGCTTGAGATAGTACCCGGTGTAGAATAAACATATTTGTTGAATGAGGGTTTATGACATGGATTCTAGGGGGCCACTGTAGTGTAAAACAATTTCATACAATCCTGAAGTTGAATCCCTGGTTTGCCATTTTAGAGAAGGATGACTTTGAAAAAGTTATTTAGTCTCCCTGAGCTTTATTTTCCTCATCTAGTGAACATCATAATACCAGATTGTTCTAAAGGATTTGCCTTTGACAACTTTTTAATAATACAGGTGGACACATGCAGTTTGAATCATTGTGTTCAAGGGTCAACTGTATTTTGTTGTTAATCCTCACCTGAGGATATTTTTCTATTGCTTTTTGGAGAGCGTGGAAGAGAGGGAGAGAGAGAGAAACATTGGTGTGAGAGAGAAGCATCAATTGGTTGCCTCCTACACAACCTCAACCAGGACCAGGGATCAAATCTGCAACCCTTCAGTCCTTGGGTCAGTGCTCTAACTGCTGAGTCAAACCAGCCAGGGCTCAAACTGTATTTTTGATCTGCAGTTAGTAATCATATCTGCGAAGGGCTGATTTAAGTTATCTGTGATTTTCTACTGAGTATGGTGGTTTGGTTGGGCGTGAGGGGGTTGGTGCCCCTAACCCCCATGTTCAAGGGCCAACTGTATTTTAATTTTTAAAATTCAGTCATGTTATTATTAATAGTGAAAATAGCTGTTGGTTATTGAATGCACATTATATGTGAAGCCCTGTACTAAGCACTTTATCTGTGTTTTCTTGTTTAATCTTCACAAGAGCCCTAACTGGTGTATTAATTATCCTCTATCTTAGAAATGGGAAAACAGGCTCAAAAAAGTTAAAATAATGGGCTTTATAACCTACAGCTAATAAGTAGATGAGCCAAGAATTGAACTCCGGTCTCCCTGATTCTAAAACATGATACTTTTTCCAGTTTACCATGCTTTGTTTCATTTTGTGTGAAAAAAATTTTGCTTATAGGAAATGCTATGAACAGAACATGATAAATAATAATAAGTAACATATATTAAGTTCCAGACAGGATCCTTAATGCTTTGCATTTATTAGTCCACTTACTCCTCACAACAATAGTAACCATATAATGTAGGGAGACTATTGTTGTCTACATTTTACAGAAGAGGAACCCTAACTAGGCCACAGTTATCTACCTTGTAAGCAGCAGAGCTGGAATTTGAACCCAGGAGAACTGGCTCCAGAGTTTTAACCATTACTTTTATACTTGTTAAAGGTGAGAAGCCGCCCTGGCCGGTTTGGCTCAGCGGTTGGAGCGTCCACCTGCGGTCCAGAGAGACCCGGGTTCGGTTCCCGCTGAGGGCATGTACCTCGGTTGCAGTTTGTCCCCGGCCCTGGTTGGGTAGTGCGGGTGACAGCCACTCGATGTGTCCCTTTCACATCGATGTTCCCTTCTCTCTCTCTTCCTCTCTCTCCCTCCCACTCTATCTGTACAAAAAATGGAAAAATGTCCTTGGGTGAGGATAAAAAAAAAAATTAAAAAAAAAAAAAGGTGAGAAGCCAAAGGAGAAATATAATTAGAATAATACATGTAATCTCTGCTCTTGAGGATTAATGAAACAGACCTACTACACATAGCATGTGGCATGTTATATAACATTTTCCTATTCATTCTCCTATGTAATTCTTACCAGGATGTAGAATAGTTTTTTTTTATTATTATTATTTATTTATTTATTTTTTTTTTTAACTTTTTATTTATTTTTTTGTTACAGATATTTTATTTTTTTTACCCCATTGGCACCCCCCTCCCCACCCCACCCCTGCCCCATCCCTGGCTTAGTTGTCCATGTCCATTGGTCATGCATACATGCATATAAGTTCTGTGGTTTATCTCTTCCCACCCCACCCCCCCACCTCCTCTTCTGAGGGATGTCAGTCTGTGCCCTACTTCCATGTTTCTGGGTCTACTGTATTCCTCAGACTGTTATGTTCATTATATTACGTATATAAGAGATCATGTGGTATTTGTCTTTTTCTGCTTGGCTTATTTCACTTAGGATAATACTTTCCAGGTCCCTCCATGTCGTCTCAAAGGATAAGAGATCTTTCTTTCTTACCGCTGCATAGTACTCCATTGTGTATATGTACCACAGCTTTTTTATCCATTCGTCTACTGATGGACACTTGGGCTGTTTCCAGATCTTAGCTATTGTAAATAGTGAGGATGTAGAATAGTTTCTGACATGAAAGCCCTCAACCATTGTTAGTAATACTACCCTACGTGATAAGTAAGTATATAGGGGAGCTGACCAACCTTGCTTTTAATAAAGGAAGAAGCGTTTTTAAATCATGAGGCTAGCAAAAATGAAAAAAAAAATTCAGTGTTGGCAAAGCTCTGGAAAGAACATACAAAAAGGCCAGGGGGCACGGGGAGTGGGGGCGGAAGCAAGGGGAGTTTTGATCTGCGTTCATATGCTTTAAGATTCCAAATAACTTGATTTGGAGAGAGAAGAGGAATCTCACCTAACTTTTTGGCAGTTGACAATGTTGGGTCCTTTATTTGACAGGGAGAGTTGGTGAAGTGGTGATACTATTTTTGGAAGATAGTGTTTGCCCTTTGGAGTAAAAAGGAATGGGAGGACAGAAATGCAAGTTCTCAGATCTGTATTAAAAACTGGTAGAGTAATTCAAGAAGAAGGAAGACTTCCAAACTTGTTTTATGAAGCCAGCATAATTCTAATTCCAAAACCAGAAAAAGACATTACAAAGAAAGAAAACTACAGGCCAATATCCCTGATGAACATAGATGCCAAAATCCTGAACAAAATACTAGCAAATCAGATCCAGCAATACATCAAAAAAATTATTCACCATGACCAAGTGGGATTCATCCCAGGGATGCAAGGTTGGTACAATATCCGCAAATCAATAAATGTGATACACCACATAAAGAAAATGAAAAATAAAAACCGCATGATCATATCAATAGATGCCGAAAAAGTCTTCGACAAAATCCAGCATCCATTTCTGATAAAAACGCTCTGCAATGTGGGAGTAGAGGGATCAT